GGCTCCGGAGGACACTTTCGCGAGGCTGATGCTGGTTTGGTCTTTCACGGCGTCGATGGCCTTGCGGAACTTGCTGGGCATCGTGGAATTTGGAATTTGGAAATGGTTAATCTTTTTGGTTTGTTTTGGATTAAAGATTAAGCTCAAGGCTAAGGCCTCTAAGGAAATGGAAAAGGAAAATGGAAATGAAAATGGGAGTTGGTTTGTTTGTTTTGGAACTGAACGGTAGTGGGTTTGAGTTCGTGGGTGTGGAGAGGAGGATGGTTCGGGAAAATGGGAGCGTTGACTGAGTCGTTTTGTTTTGATTCTGAGCAATTTGGGAGCGCCCGGTTCGGCCGGTGGAGTCCAACCACGCCTTCTGCCGCTGCCTCAAAAAATTAGGTACCTTCAATTTCTCTTCTTTTTTACTTTTTTAAAATTAATTATATATATCTATATATGCATGTATGTTGGTAGTCTTTATTTTATTTTGGTTTTGAGTTTACAGATTTTAATAAATAAACGTAACCATTTCTGTTGCTGCTTCTAACAAATGGATAATGTGGTTTTTTAAAGTGTGTTGGTGTGGGAGTCGCATGAGTTGGCTATGGGGAGGTTTTTTTATTTTCTCCCTTAAGTTTAACAAAGAGTATCAAGTATCGAGTGGGCGGAGGTTAGGCTAGGTGCATAAAATAATATCAACAACTACAATAATGATTTATTTTAACTTTAGGCCACGTAACATTTTTATTTTGTTTGATATTTTATAATAGGAAAAACTGAATCGTGCTTGGTAGTTCTTTCTTGTTTTTGAAAAAATTAAATACTTGTAACCCTTTTTTTTTCTTTTTTTTCTGCTTCTTGTTGTCTAGCAAAGTGTTTATATGAAAATTAAAATTTTAAATCAAATATTCAAAATTTTTATGTTGTATTTATTTGTTTGATATTTATTGTATTTTCTATAAAGCAAAAATATAAAATAATGTTGGAGTGAACATTATTGTGTAGGGAGGGAATGTATTTTAATTTTTATTAAAAGCTTTCTTTTGTTATACTATAAATCGCATGCAAGGAAGTAAAACAAAAGGCCAAAGTTGTTAATGACCAAGGTTCTAGAAAGTTGGTCTTTTGGGGTAGGGCAAATGGGAGGGTCGAAAATGCCGAGTAATGGGAGTACGTTTAAACAGAAACAATGACAGATAAATAGCATATCAATTTCTCATTAAAAGAAGAGAATATAAATAAATTGTGGAACAAATTGTGAAAGTTCTCATAAAGCTCTAGTAATAATGTATTGGGAAATGACGGTTTACAAGTTAAAATATCTTATTCTATTGTTAAAAATTGAAGGTTCAATTCTTCATCTAAACTAAAAGATAAAAAAAATAAAGATAATGAAGAATGTCTTCAAATCTTGATCTACAAAATTATATTATATTTGAGTTCTAATGCTTTTTTTAAATGATTGTTTAGTGTTTTTTTTTTCTTAGTACAACATGTGGGGGTGTGGGAGATCGAACTCACAACTTCTTGGTTGGAGATATATACCAATTATCGAGCTATGCTCGTTTTAACGATTGTTTAGTGCTTAAATTCAAATAAGTGTATTTTTTTCTTTTATAGAAAAATGCACTTTAATTAATAGAAGAAAGTGCCATTTGGAAACAAATAAGAAGTGTCATCCTCTAAAGCTTTTAAAAGCCTGGAGGGAAAATCAAAAGGCCAGATAAATGTGGCTGAATGATGAAGACCAAATTTTGCCAGGCTTGTTGCTTTCTCGAGGGAGGTGATTGAAAGAAGTATGAAAATATATGTTTTACTGTATTTACTAATTAAATTGAAAAACTTATACCAACTGTAATGGGTCAAATGAAGCTCAATTTGCAAAAGAAATATGAAGGAGTTGGAGAAAAGAAGTTTGTAATCAAGGCTAGAGTAAAGCCTTTTGAAATGACCAGAATGGGTCAGACTCAGTCCAAAAGGGCTAGACATGACCCATGGACTGAGCCTAGATCGAGCTATGGGTCGTGCTTTAGGTCATGTTCTTGGCCGAGCTCCATGCTACACCCAGCTCACAAGAGCCCAGGTCCCCCGACCTAAAATCCACGTTAGAGAATAAGTCAAATAAAAAAGAATAAGTCCATAGATTGAGTCGAGCAATCTTGGTTTTCCTCTTGATTTTGAAAATTCCAAATATGTTATAGAAATCTCTAGTTTTGTGCCTTTATAAATAGGAGAAGCATATTTGAGGCATCGACGCCGATGGAAAAAAATTGTAGGAAAGGAATTTAAGAAGACGTGAGTTAGGAGATGAGATAATTGAAAATGAGAAAGGATCCATTTCCTATATTTCTAGTTGACCCTCTAAGTCTAAACCATAAGCTACATGGATCTCATAGTCAAAATAGTGTTATAAGGTAGGGCCATACATTTTCCATATAAAAGCAAATAAAGCATCATTACATGGTGATGAAGGAAGGAGGCAACAAGAATCTCTCTGCTTCTGAGAATACCCACCCATCACATTCACAGCTGCAGCCACACCTTCTCACCTTTCATCTCCCCCTTCATTACATATTTTTCTTTAAAAAAAAAAAAATGGAGCATTGTGCCTGCCCAAAGTCCAGACCCGATGGATATCAAGAATTTTTAGTATTAAATTTACTCGAATATTCAAACTTAGGATCAAGAGGAGGAGTCGAGTCCCATACAAAATTTTTGTAGAGTTCCAATTTATTATCAAGATTGGATCTTAGTTTGTTCATAATCTCTCCCATCTTTTCATATCAATCCTAACTTATGTTGATGCATTAGAGAAAGCTGAGAAATCTAGGCTCAAACAATGGTACTATCTTTTCTGAAAATACCCAAAAAAAGGATGGATTTAACAGATGGAAGGGAATATTGGTGGACCAGTAGCAATAGCAGGACAGGAATTTTTTGGTAACATCACTCAAAATCTCAAACTCATTATCTTTTGTTATATATATATTCCTCTTTTTAGTGATTGTGCCATGTGATCATTCATTCATATTTTTCTTCAGTCCTTTCCTCTGAACATCCCAAATCATGTGCCCATAATTTTGGGTACTATGTTTCCAACTCTACTCATTTTCACCTCACCATCAATAACTAATGGATTTTCTTGAATCAATCTCTTTGTTATGTTCCCAATTATCAAAAAAATGTGTCAAACTTTGGGGCTAGGGACTTGTTCTGGATTATGCTTTGGCAATGATGAATAGAAGAATAAACTAAAATAAGTGCTGCCATGGGTGGCCCCTTATGGCCACATGGTGCAACAAATTCAACAGGAGTCAAATTCTTAAACACCATTGTCCTTTCACATGGAAATATTTTATTTTATTGTATTCTACGACACATATATAAATATATATATTAATATAATGGCTATACTATAGGGAACATGCAATAGATTCTCTTGTACATTGAATACAGAGACAAATTATGTCTCATCCCACTTGCTCCAGGGCAGTGTGTGTTTTCTCCCATTACCAAAAAGAAGTTAAATTTTTATATAGGTTTTATAAAAATAGTAATTAAGAGAACTATGGCTGGCTTTAAAATTACTAGCAATAATCAATTTGAGATAGTCTAGCAAAGAAGAACATGTTAATTACAGATAAACAAGTTTAACTTAATCCCCATCCATTAATCATCCATCATCCAAGCAATTGGATTACAAAAAATTTCTCCCATACTCTAAAAACAAACTTAAAAGGTAACCTCTTTTCTTAGATTAGATTCTCCTTCCCCATCTCCTCTCTTCAATACCCTGTTGGGAACTCGCAGTTGCCATACTCTGCAAAAAAGCCATCAAAAAGAAAAGAAAAAAAACAACCCTTTTCAGAAACTCTCTCAAAGGAATAAGAATAACCAAAAAAAAAAAGAAACCAAAAGCTCAAATTCTCTTGAGTTTTTGTCTTCTCATTGAGAGAAAAAGAGGATAAAAGATCCTCTTTTTTTTCTCTCAGCTGATTCAGGAATCAAGTTTCAATCCCATGAGGGAAAAAAATATGCATTTTCCCCTTTCACCACAGTAAATAGATAAAATTCACACCAACCCCATTTTTTTTAAATTGGAGTTTCCCAAAAGGGGTGCCACGTCAGCAAGATTAGATTCCTTTTTCATGGTGCCCGGCATGTGGGCCGTGAATTTTGACTTCTTACTGAGCTGGCGTGCAGCTCCATCATTCATTGTTCCATGACCTCGTGGACCACGCCGGCTCATTTTAGCGTCAAAATGCGGGGCGGGTCTATTCGGGTCGGATCCTCTAACGTACGCCTTACCCGAAAACAAGGAGAA